TCATACATATTCCACCTTAACCTTGAGATATTGAGAATATTTTGCATTTTTGACCTTTTGTAAAATATCTGCATTCAATTTGAAAGGCATTTTCACCCTCTTACCACGTCAGACTTCATACTGCTCAACCTGCACCTGGAGCACATTTGACACCATTTCCAAAGCTTCTGTTTTCTTGTGTGTCACCAAACATTTTTCTCCTCCCAAGGAAACACCCTGACCTTGTCCAGGAAATCAAAAGCCTCTAGGAAACAGAACTCAAGTGAACACTACAATCCTGGAGGCAGATGGAAGTCACACAGATGTATGAATGCATGACACCAAGGATGACAGCGATTAGTGATGGAATGATGGCACCTGAAATAAGTGAGAACTGAAACCTGACTTCAGTGAAAGTTCTGGCTGATCAAGAACAAAGGATAGAGCCCAGACTTTGTACTGTATGTTTTCTTATTCATGTGCAGAAAGATGAAGCTCCTGAATGAAGTGATTGATGAGAACAGAGTAGCTTTTTCCCTCAGTAGTTCCAAGTGAATCATTTTAAGACCACGCTTATGTGCACCTCTTTCACGCAAAGCACTTGTTCAGCACATCAGAAGGTGCCTCAACATTGTCACCTTCATGCATGCGGACACGTTTTGATTGCAGTAACAATTTTATTGCAAAAAGGAAAAAAATCCCTACTGCCAATGATCCCAGAGAAAGTGCTGGGGCTGCTCAGGTGAGGGAAGGGGCTTCAAGAATCTCTCTCTGAGTTTCTGAGGCTGTTCCAAGAACTAGGGGTGCAGGAGCACGGCATCTATACAAAAGCTCTGAACTGCAGGCAGAGAAAAAGCAAAACACAAGGACAACTTTAAGAGCTAAGTATAATTTATGTCTTTTGAGTATTCTATAGTACGTGTTCCCACTGTTTTTCTTAACGTTTCTATGATTTCATTGCTAACAATTCAAAACCTGAAAACCCATTTAAAGGGTTCTACTTCTACTTCTACTTAGGCTTCTACTAAAAGGGAAAAAGAACAGACATTTGGAAATGACAGGTTCTGCTTTTGGTAACTTCTATGTTTCAAATTCGACAGTAACTATTTAACATTCCCAGGCTCACCGTTGCACTGGAATAAGCAAGTTAAACAAGATTTCCTGCCTGAACTATGCCTCCAAAGGTTCATTTGAAGAATAAAGAAACAGTCATCAAAATTATTTTTATTCTCCAGAAATGTAAATGTGAAGCACAATTTTATGTGTTGCCAGTAACATAAATAAGCACCTCTCAAGCTTCTATTTCAAGCACCTATCGCATTCTGGGCATTTCACACAAAGAGTAATGTATAGCTTTAATCTGTACAGTACAAGGAAACATGACTGCAATTACAATTTACTCAAAATTACACCATCACAAGCTTTCACTTGCAGCTGCAGCATAAAAACCTCCCAGACCTTTTGCAGCTAGGTAATATTTGGTTTTGTTAGGGACAAATAGCCATCACAAACCTTAGAATGACCGGGGCAAGTTTTAAGAGAGGATCTGCATCTAGCAACACACTGGCGTGAGGCAACAGTCTGAAGAAATCAATGTAATTGTGCTGGAAAGTAAATACCTTTGTAACCACATCCACGGCAACCACAAAAACTTCACTTCTGCAAAGTGATCAGTAATGCTTGACTTGAGGAACTGACTGAGAGCTCAGGAGGTACTGCTTGCCACCATTAATCAGAGCCATAAAATTCCCACAAACAGTCTTTCTGAGCCATCACTGTATGGAAAAGAAACACTCAGCAGTCATCTCTGGAAATTACTATACTTGCTTCTTTCCAAAATCTAAATGCTCCTTTTTAGGGAGCATGCTATGGGAATCAGTACCTGCTACCTTCTGCAGGATGCACTTCTACTGCAGCATTAACTCAGGTGATTGACTGCTGAAGTCACTGAGATGCAGAGAAATTCCTTCTGCTGCCAACAACCACCCAGTGCACTGAGGGCAGCAAATACAGATCTCCTGAGTCAGGAGCCACTGCCTTGCTCATCACACATCATGACTTCCGTGTTAAACTAATTTGGATAAACTTCCACACACCAAAGCTGCATTTTACACCAGTTCTCAAAGGCCTCTCTTAGAAATCCAGTGGTATTATAAACCAACCCCAATTCTTTCCCTAGCAAAGGGCAGGAAGCCTTGCATGCCCTCTGGCCGCATAGAAGGCAATGGATATCTGCCATCACCTGGTAATTTCCAGCCGACACCTCCACCTGCAGCTCTGTGCTCACTCACTGGATGTGCAGTTCCAGACCCAAAGGCATTACAGCGTGAGGCTGAACCAGGTGTGGATACACAGCTCCATCACTGCTGAATGTGCATGGCCAACTCCACCCCAGCTTTATGCTCATTTTAAAGCAGTTACATAGAAACAGATAATACTTTACCCATCTGTCTTTATAAAGCCAACGTATCTTGAAGCAATTGGAAGCAGCAGGTTGAGCTAATAGCAGATGTGTGTTTTACAGCACAGCAAAGAACATCCTCCTAGGAGCTGGTAAATCTGAATGTACCATATCTGGTTACCAGCCCACCTGGAAATGCACACAGCCATTACTCATCTTCACAGCACCCACGCTGAGGAGGAGAAGAATAACAGAGATTTGCCCTTTATCTACACAAAGAGAGCTCTTGTTTCAAAACCAGCAGCCACAAACTTCAATGTGCACACTGCTGATTGACAGTGGCAGTAATCAAACATGCAGTGCTAATTCTTCAGTGCTCCTGCTTCAAGCCTCTGGCTTAGCTTTAACACAGCATCCTAACAAACATGGTGTCTAGCTGATGAGTGGGTGAGCAATGAAAGCTGCTCCTAAAAGCATTCCCGTTCCCTGCCCACCTAGCTGGTGTCTCAGAGCAGGGCAGCAGAGGCACAGCTATGTAGGCGCCTACACAGCTGCTGCAGCTCAGAGCATGGCACGCAGACTGAAAGCAATCCATCAGGTTGAGAACTCCCAAGGTGAAATACAGACACAAATACAAGCCCGACCCATTTACAGCTTTGCAACTTTTTAGCAAAGGACAGCGCTGACAGCTGGGGGGTCAGTGCTGAGGGTCAGAAACACCCTGAGCAGCCATTCTGTGCAGGCATGACAACACTTTGAGACACACTGGATGATCGGAACAGGCAGGAATTGATGGATTTGGTGCCAACTTGAAACCCAGATCTTATATGAAGCTAGCCATGCTCTGCTAAAGCACACTTCCTCTCAGAAAAAAAAATCATACAGAACTAGTGGAAATGGTTTGGCCAAAATCCAGTGTCTAATACACACACGCACATATATAAACATTCAAATAAAATCATTTGATTTTAATAACTTCAGTTAATTCCATCTAAAAGTATTTACTAGTATATTTGTCTTTCATTTCACAGAACAGCATCTTCACCTCCTTTAAAATAAATGGAGCTAAAATTATCAGTTAAACTGAGAACCATTGGAATTTCCTTGTGGATGCCACCTTTCAGTACTTCTGTAGGCTTGCCTTAATGCTGTTAATCTGCTATCAGAATTGTCCTCCTTTCTCTCAAACAGCCCATCACAAACCTGGATAAGTTTATCTACCTCAGAGACTTCCATCGGCTCCCCTGAGCTATCAGGAACCACACATCTTCACTCTGTTGACCAGCAAAAGCATGTGAGTGGAAGTCTGCAGTGAAGACACAATTTTTTGTTGGCCTACAAGGTCAGGTAGCTTTGAAGTTCTTCTCAAAGCTGCCAAACATATTTCCCCTGAGGTACTTCTAAAATTTAGACCAAACTTGACTCTAAGTGTCAATGTTTAAAGAACTCACATCAACATGCTGGATGAAGAATCATCCTGTAATTATTCTACAAGCCAGGGATGTGTGAAGGAAACAAAGTCCCCAAGAAAACCATCAACACTTTGCTTGGAAAGGAAAGCCACACAGGTATCATCATCTGTCATCCCTAATGGGAAAGCACACATTAAAGGGTCAGTCATTAGGAGCCTATCCATGGCCATGGAGCGTCATCCACATGAACATAAAGCTTCATCCACAGCTGACATACAGCCAGGTTCCAGTGGGCTGGGGAATGCTCCGGACAACTCTTAGAGTTTGGATGATGTACAAGAAAAGTTCAGAATTTTGTTGTAATTGGTAACTGAAAAAGAATGGAAAAGATGCTTTTCTTTCCACAACTAAGACCTTTATTCACAGATGTCCCACACAGCAAAGCCTCCCCTACATCTAACCCTGGAAACCCGCCTACAGTCAAACACCTGAAGATTCTCTGGGTTATCTTACTGGAAAGGTAGCAAGCAGTTGAGCCACAAGCACGACTGAAGCACAATGTTTCCAAATGGAAATGAACCTGGTTTAGTAAGCAGTATTTCCACCACCATCAAAGCAAAAGCAACACAGGGAAATTCAAAGAAAACTGGCCAGGACAACAAGCCCTTTAAGCTCCTCAATTACTAGCAGTGCAGATGAGCAGGCTCAGAGATGCCGTGTGCCTGCTGCTTAACACCGAGGTGGGCACCCCGTGCCACCTGCCACCGTGCTGCACAACTGAGCCTCAGCACGTGCCTGCTTGCATCTCACCAAGCCCTGCAAAAAACAAACCCACGGGGCTCCCATCCTTTCTGGCTCGCGCATCTATCTGACTGGGATCGCAGGGAAATGTTACTGACTACAAAACGGAGAGAAGCCGTGTGACTGGCAAGCGGCTGTCGGTGCGCTGTGACACAGAAGCACACGCAGCCTGCGGAGTTCAGAGGCGCCTCCAGAAGTCACTCGGCAGCCCGAACCGTCCCCGCTACGAGGGCTGACGGGACCGCGGGCTGCGGCCGGCGCTAACTCGCTGCCACCTGACCTGCAGCGCCCTGCAGAGCTTGGTCACCCGCTGATGCGTTTTTCAGGCGACCAACTCGTTTAAACTAAAGCAGAACTTCTTACAGCGACGAGAGCTGCCGTGCCCCCCCGCCCCGCCCCGCACTCACTATCTCGGCCACCATGAGGAGCCCGGGCGGGGTCCGCAGGAACTCCCTGTCGTAGGCGAGGGTGCTGGAGCTGGCCGACAGGTTGGCGGTGAAGGAGCTGCTGGTGGTGGTCACGGTGTGGGAGCGCGGGCGCGGCGGCTGCTCCAGAGGCGGCGGCGGCTCCATGCTTCGGGGCTGCCCCGCGCCTCCCGGCCGGCCCCGAGCCCAGCGGCGGGGCGGGGGCAGCGGCGAGGGCGGCCGCCTCCCGGGCGGCGGGAAACCTTCCGCCGCCGCCCCGCTTTGTGCGGCCCCGGCGCCGCGGGGGTGTGCTGAGTGGGGAGGGGGAGCCCAGCGCGAGGGAGGGCTGCGTGCGGCCAAATAGTGCAACCAGCAGGAGCAGGGAGGCGATCGTCCCTCTGTGCTACGCACTGCTGAGGCCGCGCTCCGAGTGCTGTGTTCAGCTTTGGGTCCGCACTGCAAGAAGGACGTCGAGGCCGTGGAGTGTGTCCAGAGATGGGCAACAAAGCTGTGAGGGGTCTGGGGCACAAGTCTGATGGGAGCGGCTGAGGGAGCTGGGATTGTTCAGTCTGGAGGAGGCTCAGGGTAGACCTGATCGCTCTTTACAGCTGCCTGAAAGGAGGCTGTGGTGAGGTGGGGGTTGGCCTTTGCTCCCAGGTAACGGTGATAAGATGAAAGGGAATGGCCTCAAATTGCACCAGGGGAGGTTCAGGTTGGATATGAGGAAGAATTTCTTCTGAGAAAGAGCAGTGATGCAGTGGCACAGGCTGCCCAGGGAGGTGGTGCAGTCACGGTCCCTGGAGGTGCTCAAGAACCGTGTGGATGTGGCACTGAGGGACGAGGTCTGTGAGCAGTCACAGGCATGGGCTGATGGTTGGACTAGGTGATCTTAGTGCTCTTTTCCAGCCTTAATAGTTCTGTAATCCTATGATTGATCTGGAGCTGCCATCTGATTGCAGGCTCTTTACGCACACAAAGGTGTTGGGCTTTCTTCCAGAGCAGCTGAGGAATGCTCTGTGGAATCCCATGGTTGGTAAGCACCATTTGGTAAGCCCATCCCCAGCATTGTCCATCTGCACAGTCACCTGCAACCAGCACCAATGGAGACATCCTAGGAACACGGGTTGCTGCAGGTGGTCTGTGGGAGCGCGACCACCACAGACAGGCCACAGGCAGACACCAGGGACTGGAAGTTGCAGCAGCCTCCTGAGAGCTGAAATTGGGGATTTAGCTGGCATCTCCCAAACAATCCAGAGTCTCTGTGGTGTACAAGGCATTGTAAAGGCAAACACTGAAGGACACTGGAAATGGAAAGTATGAGGTCATTGCTAAACTACTACCTGACAGTGCTGAGCTGTTCCCTGACCTGTATTTGTTTGTACTTTCCAGTCTAGCCTTAAGTGTCCCCTTTAAAAATAATAATAAAAAAAAATGTGGGTCATTTAAGAGCTTCTAATGCAACCTTCCATTCCACAGAAAGCACAGTGTTTCAAGAAGGAGCCAGCAGGTGATAGCTTCCTTCAGCGTTCAGGAATTCTCATTAGTGAAGCATTTGTAAGTGGCAACTCAGTAAAAGTGAAGTGTTTTCCATATGTCTGGTGGCTATTGTCCTCGAATTGTTTACTGCTGCTCTCCCGCTGGCTAACAAAGGATGTGCTTGCAGTGTTACCTTTCAGCAGGGGACCGAACGAGCTGGAGAGGGAGGAGGAGGAGGATGCGGTTTCTCCCAGCAGTACGGGAAATGCGAATTACCCAAAGAAACTGCTGCTTATACTTGATTGTGCCTCTCTTACAGTGTAAGCATGTCACAACACAGGCTCCACGGGGGTGCTTTGAAGGTGTGCCTTGGCTCGGGATCAGTGGAGCCTCTGCATGCATACTCAAAGGCACGGGTGACTTTGCTTTGAGCTGGCAGAAAAAATGTGACAGCGTTTTGCAAACATGAGCTGAGCGGGTCATCAGAATGAGGTGCCGGTTACTCAGTGGGGTATGATATACAGATACACTGTGTGAGGAAAAAAGTAAGCAGACCACACTTAACATCTCATAACATTTAACACAGCATCTCAATCATAAATAAACGATTTTACACTTTTTACTATGTTTTGTGTGTGTGTGTGTGTGTGTGTAGTTACCAGTGTTTTTGTACTGGTCGCATTCCTGTTTCATTCCTTTTAAAAATAAGAGCTGAGATGGTAAGGAAGACTGTGCATTGGTTTGTGTAGAGACCAGCTTCAGCTGGCTTGCAAATAAAAAGTGTACTAATTGTTCAGCGCTGCCAAGCTTCCCCCCAGAGCCAGAACCACTGTGAGATGCCCCTGTTGCTGTGAGTGCGGATCCAGTTAGCAGCACTGAATCACTTGTAAACTTTCCCATCCACAAGTGAGTAAATGTGGGGCTAAAATTCCTATCAGTAGCAACGCAGTAATCCACACAAATTTCAAAATGGTTTGAGTCACTCCCATCACTACCACTTTGAGAGCTGATTTATTTCCCACTGTATGTATATTCTCGCCGTGTTTCCAGGGCATTTATTTTGTGGGCTTAACTTTTATACATACTGCTAAAACTGTGTATTTTGCTCACTGCACTTCTGGAGGTCAGTGCTGTTTACTTTTTTGGCCATCACACATCAGACCAATACACGCCTTGGCTTTTGGTCCTTATGTATATCGTTTGAGCATCCCAGGTCCTCGGGGAAAAAAGTTAAACACAGATGCAGAGAGAGATTTATTTTGTTTCAACTGTATTAAAACTATTAATATAGCATATGTTTTTAATGTCTGCTGAGGATGTCAAATATTGGAACTAATTCAGCAAGAAGTGGATGGCTACATTGCTGGGCAACTTCTCTCTGAACTCTAGCTACTGCTCTGACTTCCCTAATTAGCAAAATTTTCTCCAGCAAACATAATCAAGAAATGAGTTTCACTTAAAAAAAAACAAAACAAACGGCAAATGCTGCAGCAGCTTTTCCAAATTGCTCGCATTTCTGGAAGTAAATTTCACCCTTTAACCTGACAGTATAACCCATTACATTTAGAATGTAAACTCTGAAACTCTTGCTTTTTGTTTTGCATCTTGCACTGAAGGCTCCAACTGAAAAGCCTGCAGGGAGCATCTGAGCTTAGCTAGATTTTTTTACACGTAGATAGCATCAGAAGCAAAATAATTGAACGCTGCCGCTTGAACAATCAACCTTTCATTACAAAACTACCAAGAGAGAAGAAGGTGGCCCATTTTCTGTATTTTAAATGAACCTTTCAAGGGAAGGATTAGTGAGCCTTTCAAGCATCAGTCAGGATTCTTACCTTTGTTTGTCAACTCCTGTATCTCCTCACAAAGTAAACTGTGATTAGAAGAAAAATAATGCTTTGAAGCTTTCCTGTTCAATTGTTTTAGTAAAAGCAAAAGAGCTGATAAAAGTATTATAATGTTTCTAAGTAAAGGAATTATTGCTGAAATGTCCTGATATCTAATTAACAGATTCTTCCACTTAAGCTGGTTTGGGTCTCAAATCCTGAGGAATCAACATTTTTGAGATTTCTGACTGAGCTCTCCAGAACTACTGTATTAGCAACAATGTGGCCCACTGGAAGTGCTCATTAAAGTGTATTCACACGACCAAGGAGCAGAGATGACTGGAATTTCCTGAACTGTTTTTCTGGTTTTGAAATACAACTTCCCTTCACCCCTCCCAAATCCAAGAACTTCCAAATGTCAAAGTCAGCTAAGCAAAACAAGTGAACAGATAAAGGAAAGGTGACTGAAAGTTTTCATTAGTCATCAGGACATTTCAGTCAGCAACAAAAAGTTGTGTTCTTTAAAACGTAGGAGTGATCTAAGAAAAATAAGTGAGTTTACTCTAAAGAGAACAAAAAAGGAATTGTATTTGCTATGGAACCCAGGCTAGATGTGAGGAATAGGAATAGGAATAGTGTCGGATGTCCAGGCCAAATATTTTCACCCTTGACATCCGACTGTGCTCATCTGAGGATATTTCCAGTAAGCAATAAATCTAATGTTAAAACCATGCTTGGAATATTTCCTAATGGCTTTTTGGAACCAGCAATGTATAGGCTCTGAGCTGTGTATTTAGAGTAAATAATTAATAACATACATGACTCTCTGACAGCTTATCTAGCTCTACAGAAAATCTGATTTACACTAGCCCAAACCAGAAATACTAGAGTTTGACTTCAGTACTGAGATATACTATAAACATGCCTGGTGATCAGTCAAGACAGATGACTCTAAACGAACCAGCATTTAGTAGAGTAAAATTGACTTTCAGTATCACAATACTTGATATTGAGGCTCTTCTAACATTGCAAGAGAGAGTGAATAGATGATAACCTCTCATTTTCAAAATGGCTCTTGCTCTTGAAATCCGTAGAAGGATTTGTGTTTGTACGTGAGGTTACTGAACACAGTATTTGTTTGGCTCTGCTGCTCAGACACCCCAAAATTCTGGAGCCTATGATCAATAGTAACACAAAGTCCATCAACTTGGGTAACAAGAGTGCACTGGATTTCACCATCAGACACAAATGTTACTGCCCTAAGGCAGGAAAATACAATAATCAGCTGTTTACATTTCACGTGCCTTTTCTTTCAATTATTTCTTTCAACACATGATGTTTACCTGTGTTACATGAACAGGCAGGACTGTAAACAGAGTGTCAAAAAGTTGTCTTATTACACGTGATACACCATACAGAGAATTAAGTCCATGCTATAAACAGTAACATACTGACTTCTCAATTTTTTTCCAATTTTTCAAACACATTACCGTGACTCTAAGTAAACTGTTCATTGACAGAGACTGCGCTAAGAAAAGAAGTCACAAAGTACATAGACCACGTGTCTTCTATGCTTTAGGCTTTCACCAGCTGTCCCATCTCCTCTGGGAATCCTAGAATCCTTCCCAAATGCAACTGTGCCTTAAACAGTGTGTTGAGGAAAAGCTGCTTACTTCCTCCAGAGAGATTTGTACTTCACAGTCCCTGCATGCTACACACATACAGCTAACTTCAGAGCAGAGGGTGTACCTACTCAGTTAAGGGGAGAGATGAAAGTGAGAAGTCTATGTACAAATCTCAGAATGGATGCTGTTGTTGTGTTGTTTATACTGCATTTCAAGCGCTGCTTCTCAGTTGTCTTCAGCTGT